ATGTCAGTGTTTTAACGTGAACAAAATTAAACATTAATATATGTGTTTTTCTTAATTATTAAGATTGCTTAAATTGTTAATGTTACAATTGTCAGATTTTATTCCATTCTGTAAGTGGCGGGTTTTCTGTTGAATAAGAGTATAATGTGAAGAAATGTATACAACGATCTCACGACGATGTGACGATGATCAGAATTTTACTAAAATATACTGTGTACTTCATTTTAATCATGAAGAAAAAGGATGCAGAAACCGTAATACCGTATTTACATTTCATTTTAATTATAAATAACCTGTGGCCGAGTTGACTTGTGGCCGAGTTAACTTGTGGCCGAGTTGACTTGTGGCCGGGTTGACTTGTGGCCGAGTTGACTGCAGCCGAAGTTTTTGTGGCCGAGTTCATTTGTGGCCGAGTTGACTTGTGGCCGAGTTGACTGTGGCCGAGTTGACTTGTGGCCGAGTTGACCTGCACCCTTCTCAAGCTGCCGGGCCTATAGCTTTATTAGTAACCCATAGCGATGCACTGCACTGTGTGAGCGTTTCAAATCAGTGCATGAGAGAAAGTGCCCGGGGATTAGCTCGCAGAGCAGTGCTCTGCTAGTCCAACAGTATGCATAAGGATCATGCTTACGATTACAAACATCAAAGACAAAAAAAACCCAAAAAAAACAACAAGGAGTGGACTATAGTTTATTGAACAATGTATTTTTTTTAATTTGTTTTTTATTTCAGTTTTCAAAGGCAAATATAATCCAACAGCTGTATTTATCCTGTGAATTTATCTCTGAATTGTATCATGTATATTAAGCTGATGAAGGCCAGGAGGCTGAAAAATTTCTTTTAAAAGTAGATATAAATACCATAGGCCTACATGCCTCGTCATTATAATTTTAAAATTGATGAAAATTGGGGCAGTAGGCCCACTGTTAACAGATTGAAGAGTGCTTGGTTATTTTAATTAGAGGGTTTCTCAGAAGTAAACGGGTCTCGAATTGGAAGATGCACTGTAATTATAATATTCCCAAAAGACGGTATATTTTTGGAAAGATCCCGTCTTTTCTTCGTTCAATTAAGGAGTGCGTATCATATCGATCTCTGTTGGATGCACCTGGTGCTGTTCAACTACACATGTAGGCCTAAAAAATGGTGTAAAAGATCAGTTACTTTAAATTTTCTAACAGGCGCTATATAAATTTGTCAAATTTACTATTATGATTAGGCTTAGGCCTATAAATATTGAATGGTTCTGTTCACTTTCTTAAAAATGTGATTGGCAAAAAAAAAAACAACTGTAGATCAACTCTCTATAATAATACTGTAGTTCGAAAGTTAAAGTTATGGAAATTAACTTTATGGAGTAATTTCAAATACCACGTTAGCATTTTATATTTTTAGGGTGCGTGGGCCTGGTGACCAAAATCCCGCTACTTACAGAGGAGACGCGAGACTTCTAAGCAACAGCGAAAAACGAAAATGAATAAAAAATTAGGCCCCTATATGCATCACCCAGTGCCTCGAATAAAAGTAGTCATGTCATTATTAGATAATGTTTAAGTCTAATTTATATTATGAAAACTACACCCGTCTGTATTATTTTTATGACAATCTTTTTTTTTAAATATAGCGTTAAACAGGGGCGGATCCAGAAATGTCCAAAAGGGGGGCCGGAAGCGGGGGCCGAAAGTTGGGCCGATTGAGACAACACTGTCGTAGGGGTTCTGGGGCATGCCCCCGCGAAATTTTTGTGTTCTAGACGCCCGAACATAACATTTGAGGCTTTCTGGGCTATCATTTTTTTCTTTTTTTTCTTTCTTTTTTCTTTTTTTTACCTCCCAAAAAGGGGGCCGGGGCCGGCCCCCCCCCCCCTAAATCCGCCCCTGTTAAATTACTGTATAATATCGAATTTCATTCATGTAAAAGCATGCAAGGAATACTTCTGATCAGTACTTGTTATTGACGAAATACAAGTGGGCCCTCAATGTTTAGTCAAACAACGACCGACTGAGGGCTTTAATCAAAACAAAAAATAATAATAGGTCATTCTCGATACCATGGCAGTTGTATCGCTTCGTTGTCGTGTGCGACGTTTGGTTGGGAAGACGTGTGCTCCGAAAGCTGGACCCCAAGAGCAGTGATGTTTAGCCGCTTATAGCAAGAGTGTGCAGGGTATCTCAAATCGTGCGATGCCAGCCTAGCCTATGCCTATATTATCTATACAGTATAGACATTTAATGTAATTTTGAAAATGGAAGGTGATAATGGAATTACAGATGATGAGCGTAAGATTGTACAGGAATTTAGTTACCTGCTCGAAAAATCAAAACAACTTTTCAATGGATTAAGGTAAATAAGCAGGATAATAAGGAAAGGATATTTAATTAATTATTAAACTGTTCCCCCTAAAACTTAAAAGTAAAAGACCTAGGGGGTAGCATAACTAACTAAATACAGGGCCTAGTTTAGGCCTGCCTGTGTGTCCCTATCCTATGCTTCAGTAGACCAGTGCTCAGTCCTGGCTGGTCATACATACAGCAGTAGGTCCCAGGTAGGCTAGGCCTGAGGCTATATTATCCTCCGGGATGGCGGGATCCAGTCAAGTCGCTAGGTACTTGTCTCACTAGGACCCAGTAGAGGTAAAATGAAGTAAATAAAACTAGGCCTAGACAAACAACAAAATATTTATATAATTTAATAATCCTTTTTTCTACTTATATTTTTATCAATTTGACTACTTCATATTTCGTAGAATATTAATTAATAAATGAAGTAACTACAAATATATATCGATTCTTCCATATATGAATTATAATATGTATTTCTTTTCTCTTTTTTTTCTTCTTTCTTTTTTATTTCTTATAGACAACATAAGTGTATTTTAGCTTTAATTTTGCTCAAAATATTCTTAATACAAAAAGGAAAGACTTAAACATAAATTTGTAAATTTAGATATAGTTTTATACGTATTACATTTTATAGCATTGAAATAAACATTTCCTCAAGAAAACTAAAAATAACTAGTGCCAGTACAAAGTAATAGATGAACATTAACATTGGAAATAGGAATAATAGCAGGCAAAATGTAATAGTAATAATACATAATATATTAGGGTTCATTTCTCAAAGTAAATAAATTGGCCAATTTATCAGTATATTGAGTTGAAGCAAAGAATATATTTAGGATATATTATAGGAATTATAATTAGATAGATAATATTGCTTTACACATTTACGAAAAGTAAATAATGAGGGCGCTGTTTTTAGCGATTCGGGAATGAACATTATTCCAGAGCTTGGGGTCTGCTATATATTAATAAAAAATTGGTTTTTGGCAAGTCTAGTAAAAGAAATATTTGAACGGGAATTTCTTAAATTATAATTATGTATTTTATTTGAGCTACATTTGTAAAGTATACTGTTAATGGAATAAGGAAGTTGGTTTTTAAAATATTTAAACATGAAGGTTAGGACTTGAAAATTGAACATTGTGAATATCTGTCAACTTTAGTATTTTAAGTTGTTCAAAAAGTGGTTCTGAAGGAGTCCTGTATGTTAAAAAAAGTAAATTATTCTAGCTGCTCATTTTTGTAAGATTGTTAAACTTCAATATTGGATGGATAATACAGTATGCAGCCCAGGCAATGTTACCATATTGCAAATAAGGAAAAATAAGTGTATTATAAAGAGAAATTAAAATATTTTGAGGAAAAAAATGTTTCATTTGTTAATAATTCCGATAGATTTAGATATCTTTTTTGATGCAAATTTTGATTAACTTGAATAAATACTGTATACCTAAAAAAAGTGTTTCATATTTACGTAGGATTAAAGCACCATTTAAGTAAATGTAAAGTTATCGATTTTGAACTTTCGTTGAGATGTGTGGAATATCAAATAGTTTGTTTTTAGTGTGTTGACAAGTAATTTATTTGAAATGAACCAGTTAACTAAAATATAATAATTTGTCGTTAAAAACTGTAAATACTGTAAAAAATCGACATTAGAGTTGGAAAAAAGTAAAGTACCTGTAGTGCCATCGGCAAAGGATATCACTTGCAATTTATCACTAAACATTGATTATATCATTAATGTAAATTAAAAAAGTAAGGGCCCTAGCACAGAACCCTAGGACAGAACCACAGAACCTCGTCGACGATTTACACGAGCCCAACGCAACATATTGTTTTCTACCCTCTAAATAACGATTGGGAAGATGAACCTGTTTTTTCACAGCATTGTAATTGGCAGATGAGAAAGAGTATGAACATGAGGGCAGCAGTTCATCATAAAAATGTGTAGAATTTAAACAAACTCACCCTACCCTACCTACTGTATACATCAATAAAATGACATTATTGACATTGAAGAGGGATGGGCTGAAGAGTCAGTGAAGAATAACTTAATCCTAACCCTTTTAAAAAACTATTTAAAAAAAAGAATAGGATGAGAAATTGACAGTACATGGGTATTGCTAAACCCAGCAAACCTCCAAAAAAACACCGCAAACCCCATCCAAACTCTGTGATAATAATTGAATCACTTAGTATAGGACTCAACTTGGTATCTCAATAAAAAAAAATCTTAATTTTATGTTCGTCACAACCTATTTTTGGGGTAAAAAGCCATTTTTTGTATAAAAAAATTGCTAAACCCTGCAAACCCCCCAAATCACAGTGCAAACCCCATCCAAACCCTGTGATAGTGATTGAATCATGTCGTATAGGACTCACTTGGTACAAAAGTAAAACAAAAAATTTAATGTTCCATTCGTAACAACCTACTTTTTGGGTAAAAATGCCACTTTTTGTATAAAACATTGCTAAACCCCGCAAACCTCCATTACAATATTATTAAGTAGTGACATCTACCATATTGGACCTATAGTACCCACTTTGTTTTTTTTTTATTGATATTGTTCGTAATTGAAATTTGTAATTGTTTTCATGAACCTATAATGAGCTGATCAACAATGTACAATTATTGTTCACTTTCACTTTATTCACTTGTTCACTACTACAGTAGAGGGCCTACAAAAAAGTGCCGGGAACCAATTAGGCCAAGGCCTGTAATTAGGCTCCCGGACTAATCTTAATTATTTAGATTAAACTCAACTTAATAAAATCAAAATAAGGGTTAAATTATTGAATACTGTAAAAGCTGAACATGCAAGTTTCAAATAATCACATTAATTTGCATTCTGATTGTTTCAGGGACCTACCACAATATGGCCACAAACAATGGCAGTCATATTTTGGAAGAACATTCGATGTGTATACCAAGTTATGGAAGTTTCAACAGCAGCACAGGTGTGTAAATTACCATTCAATCAAACATTAAATAAAGTGTTCATTGCCATGTAGGAGTATGGCAAAGTTCTTCAGTATTTGCAACTACTGTATACATTTTAAAGCGTAGGTAGGCAAAGTGCGGCCTGTGGAAGCTCATTGGAAACATCAAAGTTTGGGTGCAGCCCTTGGTATTAAATCAAAAATTCACTTTGGCCCTCCGACCGATTTTTATGTCCATCTCCAGTGTTCTCCCTAGCATCGTGGTTAAGCGTCATGGTAAGTGTTAAGTCCACCATAGTTGGGACTGACACAAGATATTTTTAATAATTAGGAGGCATTAAAATGTCTTAAATTACAATTTAAGACTATATAAAAGTCAGGAACAGTTAAATAATTTAACTGTTCTCTGATAAAAGCATCATAGAAGATGTTGCAATCATCATGGCTAACTTTCAAGCATCATGGGGAAAGTCCCAAGCATCATGGTACCATGATGCTTCAAGGGCCTGGGGAGAACATTGATCTCTGTTTTTTAAAGGGTGCGATCAAGTAGAAGTATTCCCCAGTTGTATGTAATACTGGGCACTTATTGTGTTGTACAGTATGACTGTCATTCGACCGTCGTATGGTGAGTCCCACTCCACTACCTGTGAGTGCTAGATGATGCAACGCTGATTGTTGGCAATCTAAACTTAATCGTCATTAAAAATGATCCGTTGCGTGGTCGTGGCGTTGTGTTCTTCATAGAATCTTGTTGGCCGGTGACAGTCAGGCATCGTGAGTGCCTAGCTTTAGAAAACACTACTAATGACATCTCAAATTTACTTTTATAAATGAATACCGTTGTGTGTCTAATAGGTGTAACTCTCGTTCATAGCAGTGAACATGTTTAACTGGTACAGTATTTGTCTGTCATTAACATTAGGATCTTCTCCTTTTAAAATTTTTAAAACGTTGCTTTCTCAAAATTTTAATCATCAAAGGTCACAGTTTTAAGTTGCAATGGTTGTTTTGCTTTTCTCACACTAAATATTTATAGTAATTACAGAATTAATAAAATGTCAATAAAGTAAATCAGGTCATTAGGTCAGAGATAGCTAAAGAAATTACTAAATGTACTGTAGCTCTAAAAGGTTCAGCTGTCTCATTTAAAAAAAAAATAATAATAATAATCAAATACCTTGATAAAAATTGCGAGCTGTAGCAATGATTCTTCATGTCTGACTGATTTGTAATTATTTTCATTAGGATGATACTTGACACCCACTATGGATTAAAGCGATGGCAAATTGGAGAAGTGGCATCCAAGATTGGCCAACTTTACTACCATTATTAGTAAGTGTATCCTTAAGGATTTGTTATTTATTGATTTTTATTACTTGATATTTTTCATTAATACGATTGTCGCAAACTGGAAGTCAGGGGCGCGAATCCCAAACTGTCCATTTCGCATGTCTTCGTGTGCAATGCTCTTCATCCACCACCAGGTGTCATCATTTGGACAAGAAGTCCTCTTTTATTACTTTAGGCCCCAGCAGGTGTATACCGTACTGTATCTACTGGTAAATCACAATGTAAAATATTCTGTGTTAAAAAAAAAGTTTATTTTGCATTTTGTTGGACTTTCTGTGCAAATAAAGTCATTTTACTATATTTTGTTCTTTATAGTAGGAGTAGTAGTAGTAAAGCTTTATTTATTTACGAAAACATAACTCAACAATTTAATATGCTGTTTTCATCATGGCCATGATAAAAGAGAAAAGAAAATAAATCAAGTTTACATAACATAGAAAATAAAGGAAAAGCTTAATGTAGTATATAACAAAGTATAGGTCTATGAAATTTACATTATACAAAATAATTTTTATGAACAGTATTAATATTATTGTACACTACACAAAAGAAAAAAACCAAAGCAAAAAAAATAAATAAATAAAGTACATTATTAATTATTAACATTCATTGATTAATATGAAATAAGTTTTTTGAAAATACTTAAAGTATTTTGAAGTTTATACATTTGAATTTTGTTTGTTCCATTCAATAGCTCCACGGTATAAAATACTTCTTTTTTTATAATTAGTTCTTGGTTTAGGTATATATAGATTACTTGTACTTTTACGAAATTCATAATTGTATGTTTTCTGTGTTTATCATTGTTATTGTTACATGTACTGTATATTGTCTATGACTTTTGTCTGGTTGAGTCAGAAAGAATACTTAACTTCAGGGTTAAATCCATTCTTCTTTTTTTGAATATGCTTCTGTAAAGAACTTCTAAGACAATAAGAAATAAAATCTGTCTGTACATGGTCTTGATATAAAAAAAGTGGAAATATAAGTAATCATGACAAAAAAAATCTGGAACTTGATTTGAACTCATGATGCTGAGATCAAAAGGTAAGATTATTGATTGCCAATGTATAGTACAACTCCACTGTTTTGAATCAACATAGCTTCTGTAAATGTATCAGTTTCAATTTTCATTATAAATGAAAATAAGTTAGGCAATTAGAAAAGAGAATTATTCATTGGCCAAAAAATTAATAAATAATAAAATTTACAAGAAAACCAACTCTAAAACAAAGCATTATTATTATTTTTTAAATACACTTCCAGCTTACTAGAGGCTTAATTGATATTCAGGGACTAATGTCAATGCATTACTAGGCTTAGGGATGATTTTTAGTTGTGAAAAAAAAATCCTATGCCGTCACCAAATTAGACCCTCAACCCTTTGATTAGAAGCCAAGCTACTTAACCCCCAAGTTACAACATATCCACTTCTAATATTGATTTACAGTTTAATTATTAACAATTAAAAAACAACCTGTCATAAACACCTCTAAATAGTACAATGACTCCAATACAGACAGTAAATGCTAATATAATTAGAACTGTACCCTTAAACAGAATTTGTCTATATAAAACCCCTCTGAAAATCTAACACACAAATATTGATGATGCGACTTGACTTGCGGGTATGTGCTACTGTGATCAATAGGTTGTGTCAAATTTTGGCCTTTTCAAAAGTAAAGACACGCACTTAATTCTTTCGTGTCTGCTACAACACAATGGTGTACGGTATACTAAATTATTGAATGTATTTCTTCTTTTACGAGCTTCTTTGATCTGAAAAAGTGACAGGCAGCATGTATATTCAGGTTTATTTATTCACACACACATATGGATCCGCCTCTGTTCCTACATTTCATTACAGTCAACACATACCTGTACTATTTATAAATTGATTGTTGACCGAAACTTATACAAAATTTTAAAGGAATTTGAACATAGCAAACTTCACTTTGCTGAGAGGGTGTGAATGGCCCTTAATACAAAAAATATGTTTGCTGTGGCGCTGTACTGCTAATTAATAACTGTTAATATCTATTGCGGAGTGGTCAAATTCAATTTTCACTAGTGGCTGTTACAGGTGCCACTAAAGTTTAATGAACAAAAAAATGCAGAGTGATATACAACAGACTGTGAAACAACCAGCTTTTCTTTGACTTATAGTTAGTAGTGAATATCTACGATAATAGCAAACCTTCTTTGTGACTTCTTCATACATTTATAATATAGCTACAGTATATTGATTTTTGTTTGTACTAGAAGATGTCTCTCGCTGCTCCTGCTCAGTTCGTTGACTTAAAGATAAATCAATCAATAATCACCATCCTTAGATAATTTCAGCTACAGTAATGTCATTTATCATTGTCATCAAGGTTGTTAATCATTATTATCATCACCACCATCATGTTTTTTGTAATCATTGTCATTATTTTTATAATCATCACTGATATAATTGCAAATTATGCGATATCTTATCAACTTCATAATCAACAAATACACTGTTTTTCATCATGGCCATGAGAAAACTTACAATTACATTAATTACACATTACAGACATACATTACCATCACAAAAAAGTGAAAGTTTATCATTGCTGATAAATTAAAAAAAAAAATTATATTGAATTATTCTCCATCTTTACCCTACCCTACATTGTCATAATTATCATCATCTTTGCAATTTCCTCAGTGTACCTGCAGAGGTGAAGTAGAATAGAATAGAAATACCATATTTATTTGAAAAATGCTCTGGGGCATTTATTGTTGAGAAGGTTTTTTATTCAAGGGAGGCATTTTATTCGTGGTAAAAAATGAACACTGTGCAGGGTGTTTATTCGAGGGAGGCCTTTGTTTCAAATTAGGCTCTAGAAGAGGTGTTTATTTGAGAGGGGAGTTCATTCAAAGTGGGACGTTTATTTGAATAAATATGGTATTATAAATTAGTACTATACATTTTAATCTCCAACAACTTACCGACTTAAAACAGTACATTAACCTCATTAATTCAACAATTTAGCAGTTTGTAACTCTTCCATTCTACTGAATATTCTTTTCATTTATTAAGAAATCATTTTTATTCAACATAACTGCTAATCTATTCATAACCATCTATGTATCACTGTGTGGTTTGTGATAATCAAGGTATATAATGAATATATGCATGACTATACATGAATATGTATAGAGCTAATGAGACCCTTGGGACTCTATTGATCTCCATTGTTTCCACACTTCATTATCTAAATTCCAATTCAATGCTGCATTGCTGAATCTTTCTGATAGTAGAGTATATTATTATCTATCTGTACCTTAAATAATTGATGTTCTCAAAATAATAATACTATATTAAAAGTATATTGACTGTGTATTTGAGATTCTGTGCACAATTTACTTTATAATAATATTCATAAGTTTAGTAAAAGAAATACTATAAATTAAAACAAATTTAATAAAGTATTATTATCAAATCTTGTTGATAATTGATGCTCTGAAAATGATAATTTTATAATACTATATCAACTGTGTATTTTAGATACTGTGCACAATTTAATTGTTCACAATTTGTTAACAAGTTCAGGCAAAGAAATATAATATTCTGTACAAAAAGATATTATATTGGTGGACATTTTTTCTTTGCAGTTATTTTAGTTTAAATTATACAGAACAAAAGTATTTTAAGTTGAAAACATCCCAAAATTGCCTAGTTTTTATTTGTTCATTCACTCATTCGTTACTTTGCTTGTTCACTCATAATATTTATCTATTTATAAAAGTTCCTTACAAAATAATGCTGTCCATGAGTGCAGTAAAGTATGATGATAGAGTGTTATGGGCTGAGCACAAACACATGGCAATCTGTTGAGTTCTTTTAACAGATGCATTAAAATAATGAATTACAAAACCACCAGAATTTACAATAACAGAATATGTTATTCAGAAATGCAAGTGATTTATCATAGAGTAGCTCCTCTAGGCTCTGTATCGTTTGATCTCGTTCTAAGATGAATAAATCTCAACCAATAACAGAATAAAATTATCCTACGTTGACGACTGCATTCCAACTAGAAATAAAATCTTTTTGAAGGATTATTCTGACTTAGCTCAATACTGTAGGTAATTACAGTTGTATAAACTGAGACACAGGTTTATAGTATCTCTCTCTGATTGTGAGCTACTCTTTGCATCAGCCAATATCTACAAAATAAATTTGATTTTAGCTTTCAGGACTTTCAGGAACACTCACTCCTATTGTTGAAATTCAAATCCCAGCCATTCTTTGATTTTATATTATTTAAATATTTTCATTATATTATAGCATTATAATGTTGGCAATTTTTATAATAAAAGTGTAATTTTTAATTCATAAATGAGATCTTTTTGTAAAATAATTTCCCAATTTAGTTTATTGTTAACTGCGATGACATTGTTTTTGTTGAATTACTGTAAGATACCAAAAATATTGTAAACCAAAGATCTGCAGATGTAATATGACATAGTATTAATATTTAATGTATGTGAGCATTTCTACTGAACTGCTAAATTCTGTATTCTCTATTTAGTCTTTCAGCCCCCTAAATATGCAAATTGACTACTGTATCGTAGTTAAAGCCTACGCTGTCATGTGTGTGTCAAGGATTTTCTGTAATTTTTCATAATTATGACAATTTCGATTTAAATTATAATGAGTATGCTGTAATGATAAATGGTTAAAATTTTCTTCCACTAAAAAATTGTTGCCATACTGTAGTTGTTTTTGTATACCTGTAGAATTTTAACCATTATATATATTTTTTTATCCTCATCATAATTGTATTCATTTCAGTGCAGTATACAGTATAGAGTAGTATAAATTTGTCACAGGAGACAAATTGTTTCTGAAATGCTGAAAGTAGAGATTTGAATAATTCATGAAATGTTTGTCACAAAAAAAATCTGAAATCCAGGTTACATTCAATTCTTTTGATCGCTTGCGTAAAATAAATTTTTTCTGCATTATTAAAAAAAATAGTTTTTATGATATTACCGAATTGAAATTATTGTACAAGGCTTACAATTGAGAATCAGGATATTACTGTACATTATAATCTGTGTTAGCAAATTTTAACAGTATGCATTTGAAGTACAATATTGATAGCTTTGTGGATTTTTCTGCTTAGCTTATGTTATCATACAAGATACTTGCCGAATGCAATTTGAGAGTTGATACCGGTAGACTGAAACAGTGTACTGTATGTTAGATTTGAACAGATGAAGAGAACTTGACAGAGAAACCATTTTGATGAGAAGCTGGCGAAAATTGTGTATAGTAATGATAAAATATTTCTTGAAGGTTTGCTTGGCAAGTATCAATAACAAACAAAATCATAACATTTTTGGTATACCGTGTGTAAAAATATGGTTTTTCTTTAAAAAACGAAGTATGTGGTGGTCTCATTAAGTCCCCTATCCTTGAAGACACTACCAACCAAACCCTGGCTGAAAAGGTCCTCAAACCAATGAGCAATATTAAGTCTGTTCTGTAGTTGATGGTGTCCGATGTTATTGCTCGGCCACTCGACACGCCAATATACATCGAGTAGTTGTCTCGTTTATTATTTCTAATTTATGCAGATTGATTCTACTCCACTCTTGAATTTTCAATGGTTATCATGAAAGTGGGAATGCAGAGCAGGGGGCGGGGGGAGGGAGGGGATGAGAAGAAAATACTGTACTTAAACAATTATACTTCAGGAAAAAAAAGCCAGAAACTGTGGCACATAAAACCTAACATTGATAAAAACAGATTTAAAACATTACCAATTTACAACAATGTACAGTACAAATTCCAGAATGTAGTTAAAGTATCCCCCATTTTAATAAAAGTGAATCCATTTAAAATTAGAAATTAATATATGGTATGAATATAGATTACAGTATTTTAGTGTTTAGTAGTTTTCATCATTGAAAGAGTTAAAAAGTTCCTTTTCTCTATCATTAACCTGAAACAAATTAATTTTGAACTACAGTGCAGGTATGTGTCTGAGGGCAAAGAGTTCATGTTCTGCACTCAATTTGCATCTTTCGATTGGTGAGGGTAATTCCAGACTTTTTGACATTTGCCTACCTTTCATAAACATCAAATCAAGATTGATTCCTACATTAAGAAATCAATATTTTACCCCAGTATATGGTTGGACTGCATAATCATCATTTTGATCGTGTATGATAAGTGGAGAAACTTGTAAGCAAACACAATTAATAGTCCGTATCATTGTTGAAGTCAATGAAATTATTGTTATTTCAAGGAGACGTGCTTTTTACCATCACATTAGAATGTTGAAAATAAATAATTATAGTAGTTCATAATAATAGATACTCCTGTGTGTCGACTAATATAGTAGAACATGGACAACTACAAATGAGAACAGTGCTAGGAGTATGCTTGCCCAACGAACACGTACTGTCCCACAAACGCATTACACTACATTTTGTTTACGCTGTGATTGTGTTGAACCTTGGCAACATTATGCAGGGGTTTGGGCTTGGGGGAGTGGTCCGAAGGTAATTTTACTGTCATTTTGCAAGTGAAGGAATTTTTTTAATTTACAGTACGATATCTTCTTTATCTGTCTGTCGTAATTATTTTTGTATTGAATTTTAGAGAAAGAAGGATTATAATAATAATACCCAAATATTAATAAATACCCAAATATAAAGCGCCATTTCCAACAAATGATCAAAGGCGCTGAGCGTTATTATTGTACCCCTGGTCACTGAATAACATACAATGGCAAACCAGCACAAAGTGCAACCTCCTCTGTTTCTTCGGGAGTATACCTAGTTGTGCGTTGAAATTAGTACATTCAATGCCACAACATCCTACCAGGTACCCATTTATACTCCTGGGTAGAGGGACAAACGTAGATAGAGTGCTTTGCCCAAGGACACAAGCGACTTGCACAGCGAGAGTTTCCCTGACCTCAAAGTTGGGAGTCCAAGCCACAACCGATGTACCCAACTGATAATTAGTCTATTGCCCTAACATGTGGTTTAGGAATGGAGTTTACTATTGATTATTATGAAAATTATTGATGGAATTTTAAAATGATTCTTTAGCATTGGATAGAGGAGTGTACGGTACTGTATGTACTGTAAAACTGTACTAAATGCATTAGCGAAATTCAGAGCCAACAACTTTTGATTTAAATGGAACATGATGTTTGCTGTATAAAACTCCTTTTCCAATGTGTAACATACTTGATTGATGGATTTATTCGGTGTACTGTACACTGTAAATACCAACAATAAACCACGAAAGTCCGAAGATGACTTATTTTCAGTGGTATCCCTCTGGTGGTAGTTGGGCAGTGCACCGAGAGATAATCCCCTACTCTTTTCTGAAGAGTGTACTGCGATCTCTAATGTGCATGTGGGCCATAATGCACAAAGGACCAACAGCTTAAATGTCTCATCCGAAAGATGCTGCGCTATCGTAACTTGCATTTCAGCCCTCAAGCTGAAACACAAGGACAGCAGCGATGGGAATTGAACCGGAGGCCTAGAGGTCTCCACGGTTCTATGTTTGGACTGAACTAAGCTGCTCTTTTAAAATTTAAAGAATTTACACATTATAACAAAATGCATTCTTAACTACAAAGTAACATGAGTATAATATAATGAATTTAAATTTTAAATTGCAAACATTGCAGTTAAACAGTAGATAGTATTATTGCCTCTTTCTTTGTATCTTGCCATAATATGTAAATTCTTCAAATTTTGACTCGAAACCTTTAATTATTCTCCTCAGTACTTTAAACAGTGTATTGCATTTGATTATTTTATGCGTTTTTTATGACTCTGTATATTTTATATTTCAGCTTGAGAACTAGCGAAACAAGCTACTTAATGGAGTCATTCTCATTTTACTCAGCCATCCGTGCCCGTGCTTATTACTCAAAGGTTAATAAGGAAAAAGGGTTAGTATAATTGACTTCAATATATAAAAGTCAAAGAAAAAGTGTCGTTAATTGGATGAAATTTGTCAAATTGCTGATATGCTATAGTTGGTCAATGATAAGATAATTTCAATGATAAAATATTGTTTATGGATTTTCATAGAGGCTATTGTACAAATTTGTGACAGTTGTGTTTGTGTAAAGTACAAGTTTTACAACTTGTGTTTACACAGTAAGCAACTTTGTGACTTTTATGTTTATTGCTTTATAGAATACCACAGTCGTGTCGTCACAATGCCTGGTGGCGCCTCTGTTGTCAACCAGATGTTGGTTACCGTTCATTACGCCTGAATGACTTATAGGCTTTCTGGAATAGGCATTTTGAAATCAAATATTTTACCATCAAAATGTACTAAAAACACAAAAGCTCGCATTATATTAGTTATCGAACACATTTAATTATCAATTAAAATTTATAAAGAAAAAGTTGGGAAAATGGCATCCAGTTGAATTCATTTTGCAACGATAGCAATGGAGTAGTATCACGTGGTATTTTGGCGTAACACTATAGTACGCTACAACATCACAAGCGTACGATTTTTGAGAAGTTCTTTAAGCTCGAACGCTAACACTGAAATTTTAGAAGTACAGAGGCAACCTATTAGAATCCTAAATGCGTATTCCTTTATTGATGTTGGCGATAGATTGCTGTAATCAGATCTATAGTCTATATCTTTCAATTTGACCTCAGTTGAAATCTGGGATAGTCTATGTGATATAGGTTTGCGGCAGGTGCTGAAGAAGCTAAAAGCAATCATGCAGTCCTCAAGAACTATGCTTAAATATGTGTGAAGGTGATAGATTTGTAGCTGACATTACAGTATCTCCCTTGAGAAAGTTTAATCTGATTAAATGATGTTGAATATGACAAATTTGACAACAATCAGTTTTATTACTTCATTCTCTTGTAGTTGCTCTAGGAAGTTCTTGATAAACCTGAGGAAAGAATATAAGCATGGAAATATGTATGGATATAAGGCTCAATAAAAAAAAAAATATTAGTTTATCACCCTCACCTGCATGTCTTTTGAAAAAAAAATATTTTAAGAAAAAATGTTTTTGTTAAAAAAAAATAAATAAAAGAAAAGATTAATTTTTAAAAGTAAATAGTTAGTAGGTATTATTTGTATTATCTCAGTAATGTATTTTACCTTGAATATCAATGTACCAGCAAACAACCCAAGTGTCATTGGCTTTAGCAAAATAAAAAATAGAAATGAAAAGCCTCCCTCCCTCCCCTCTCTGATCACTTTTCCACCCTAGATTGGGTGATGATAAACTAAAAATTTTTTTACTTGGCCTAAGGATGGAAATTCAATTTATCCTTTGGTTGTGTTGCGCCTGATGATAACCATGGCCAAATAATTTCATGGTCTGAAGCGGAGGATGCAAAATGGGCTGGGGGAGCGAAAATTGAGAATGCAGTACTAAATCCTTATTCCAATGTAAACTTGATTGTACAGTATAAACAAACAAATTTTCTATGCCGGGGGAGGGGAGAGAAGTGCTGGGGGTGCGTATGTACTTCTGCATGCACAGCCTACGCCCATGAGAAGTGGTAGCCCTGTATCATCAATCCCTGTCGTCTTTCACTCTTTCACAAATTTTCAACCACTTCCTTCCTTTTTCATTTGCCATCCTATATTCCTCCTTGCTCTGCTGAGTTATTTCTAATCACTCCTTGATCTCTGGGCATACTTATTATTGTAGTCTAATATGTAACAATAATTAAGGTAGTCTTAATGAGTGTGCATACTGATTGCATTAGCTGCTTCAGATTATTTACATTGCATTCAGATGTAGAGAATATTGAATTAGCTTAATAGAAACAACCAATGAGCTTTGAAGTCAAATATCACTGCCTCAGAATCACTTTGAAAATTGCTTGTTAAATTAAATTAAAGTACAGGAGGCTCACAGGCTGCCATAATGCAGTTTGATGTCAGCATTCATCCTTCTACTATTCCTAAATGAAATGACAAAATTTGAAGGATTTACGTACATTAACCTATATTTATTTTTAGTTCGGCATGAAAATTTAGTACTTATAGTTAAAAATATTCAGCATAGAATACTTGCATCCTACCCGGTTAACTACAGTATATTTTATAGGATTTATATAGCGCACATATCCACAAAACTGCTCAAGCACTTTTTTCCCTTGTAATTGGATACAGAATCAATAATACACAATATTCCTCTACTCCCTGGGGAGTATTCCTAGTTCGACCAAAAAAAAACAACATTTTTGTTTGCCCTCCTCCACCCACCCCTAACTCAGTAAAAAAAAATAGGGGTGGAAAAGCAAAAAACTTAAAAAAAGGGGTTTTTTAGCTTTTTTCTATACAAATAAAAAAAAATATGAGTGAATTTATCTTTATTTTTTGCCAGATGCCCTACAAATTAGTCTACAGTTGTTGTGATGTAAGGTATTGCCATTCTAGTCCTCTGTGGGTTATTTTTATTCTATCTGATGAGTATTTAAACAAAAGTAAATAAATTTAAAAAAAAACTTTTTCCATCCACCCCTATTTATCATTTAAAAAAAAGATGTGCAAACAAACAATTTATTTTATTTGGCCTTATGCATGCCATCAGCACTACTAATTTCATTCTGAATCATTCACTTCCTACAAGGTACCCATTTATACTCCTTTGTGAACAAATGCAGATGAAGTGTCTTGCCCAAGGACACAAGCAATGTGATGAGCATCAGTACCGAACCCCCAACCCTCCGATTGAAAGTCCAATACCTTACATGATGTGCCACATGCTTCTACAATAGCCTATGCTCATCATAGGTGGAGTGAGCTAAAACGTAGATAAAATGTGATAAAGTGCTTTACTCATCAAGGGCATTGCAAATGGCTAGCATAAAATTATTTTTTTTTTTGTATTCTTTAAAAACATTTTATCTGGCAGCAAAGAGCTAAACTGCATCAATTTAACCATTTCAATAATAATTTTCAATTGTAATTTAACCAAGGCCAGATTGGTAGATTGCTGTATTAAACAGTTCTAACAACCCGTCTGATTGATTGTATCAAGTTTCATCACATAAATGGTCTTCTAATAATCATCCACTGTAAGATACCATTGACTAAAAAACTGTCTTTGCTAAAGCTTTACAGTAACAGGGCCATCAGAACCGCACCGGCTTTGACCACTTTTTCTCAATCCTATCACAGGTCTCCCTCCATACCACCAATTAAAAATCCCTTTTGGGACCAGGGTTTTAGTGGTCTTTAGCATCTTTGGTCTCTAATTTGAATCCCTATAATTAAAGACTGGCTTTAAAAGTATATCTTTAAATATATGTATTTAGAGGGAAATTAAGAAAAGATATAGTAAATGTAAGATTATTAGAATGGATGTAAGGCCTACAGTTACTGTATGCTGTTATTGTTATTAATGTTTAAACTATTTCCCGGTAGTCAAGTCACACATCAAGTCCTATGCCCATTCTACCTAATCATTACAGTATTACTAACAGCACAGTCCATTCAGTATAGAACACTGATACACAAAACATCATCTTAAATATATCTATCATCATCATCATCATCATATATTTTTTTTCAAATACATTAAAATCACTATAGGCCTATATTTTTATATATCAGAAATAATGTATTTATTGAATGAAGGAAACATTTTTTAGTTGGATCTGCCAAAACCATGATATTATACATTATGGTTGAATTTTTTTTTCCGAATGTTTTAGAATGAATTAGGCCCACTGCATGCCACACACGAAACTTGCGCTCCATTTAATTAGAAAAATACAATTTCAACGTCCTACTAAAACTATTGGCATTCAGTACGGAGCAGTGTGCACAGAACGTCAGCTATTGATGTATATTTTGATGTCTGTAGTGTGTAAAAAGACTAAAACTACTATACATTTTAAAGTAGTAGAAATGTTCAGTTTGGTCTGCCAAAACCATCTTCTTTTGGTGTCTAATAGAATCCCTATAATTAATGACCGGCACTCAACAGGGGTCCCAATTTGGAAGAATCCACATCCGGGAGATCTGTTTAAATGAGTTTTCTTATGACATTTAAATTTTGTTGTGCATGGTGAAATGGTTGACATTAACTGCTGTGCAGACAATTGATATTACAGTATAAAAACTTGATAAAGCTTGCAGATATCATCATGAATTTGCAGAGATGGCTTATTTCGGGAGATTCATGCTTCATACCAGAATGTGGGAGTCCTTCCTGCCAGTTTCCAGGAGACTCCATTCCGTGACTCTACAGGAGACTTGGAACTCATGGGTACTAAATGTGGTCTTTAGATTTCTCTATTTAGATGGAAATTTTAAAAATAATACATTAAATGTTTTAAAATGGTGTACAGTAACTTCATGCTCTTATTCTTAATTAAACATTTCTTTCTAGCTATACATGAACTTGTTTTTCCGTTAAAATATTGCTAACATTATCTCTAACATTATCGTCATTCAATATACAAAACGCTGTACACAAAACAGTGCATTGGCTAATATTTCTATGTCTGAGTCATATACGGTATAACACAAATTATTGTAGGAAAAAAAAAAGGGATTAAGATCACTGTTTATTTTATAGTGGTCTTAACTTGGAGGGGAAATTTTCAGTTGGATCTACCAAAACCATGGTCTCTAAATATAATTGGAGGGAACAGCTGATGATAAGAGATAGCCATCCAATGGAGGCTGCAGAAATGTTTTCTTTAATTGGAGTGGTCTTTAATTGGAGGGAGAACTGTACTTATTTTAATGAATATACACTACTATATTATGTGGATTTATTATTAATGTTGTATAGGCCTATATATATATTTTAATCCTCCATGAGCTTGTTTTGTATTTTACATTTCAACTTTATTGACAATCCTTAACTTTAATATTTAAGATTGATTTTGAAAGTGTTCAGAGGTATAATATAAAATAATAACTATTATAAAATTTTGTCAAAGGTATAATGTCTAAGCCGGCCCTGATTAGGCCTATTTCCATTTAAAATTTAAACCCTTAAGACATTTAAAAAAAAAAAATTATACATGTGCTATTTCCAGGCTGAGGAACCATTTTTTCAACCATGATGAAAAAAAAGGTGTTGCACCCCACCACCCACTCACCCACCCATGAGCATGTAGGTTGTATTTAAATTGGGATTAACTTTTATTGTCTTGAAAGAGAATTTGTTGATATCCTCATTATTTATCAAGAAGGATGCATTGAAAGCTCATAAACCAAATTAGAGCCCTGTTGGAGCAGTTCTTAAACTACAGTAAAACATAATTTATAACTAACTGATTGCTCTAGACATTGGGCTGACTCTTACTGTATCCAGAGGTGACGGAACTTGGGGGTGCTGTGTTATGGAGATTAATGTGTGACCGGAAATGGTCTGCAGTCAGTTGGTTGTTACCATGCGCCAGTGATGTTGGAGTATAGAGTACAGCAATATGAAACTATTATGTAGGCCTAATGAATGAATAACATTTCGGAGTTTGTCGTAGTGAAATGATTATTTCACATTTTAAGTGCTCCCTAAATTCATAAGTGTAAAGCTAAATTACAGTGATTAATTTAATTAGCGAAGATATGGAGACAATTATTTCGAATCCCTCTTTCCAAGAGGGGATGCAAATGAAAATGAGTACGCCGCGGTACTAATTTTCACAAAGAAATACACACAACTGGTTAGCTAACAATTATGTCAATGTTACATGAACACCTGGGAAGGAAGGTGCAATCACGTTGTTACCTAGCAAACGTCTGTACTGTATGGGGGAGGGGCTGCTGATGTACTGTGTAGCGGGGAACGATGAGGCATAATACTAGGCCTAGGCCTAACTAAGACAGTGGAATTATATGTGATAGAGAGTACACTTTCGGAAGAAATAAATTAAAATAAGAAAAAAAAAATAACTAAGAATAATTCATTTGCAGACGTCACCAAAAAATGAATATTTTATATTATAACCAAAATATTAATAACTACAAAGTTTCTGGGCGTAAATTCCCTTAATACGAATGAAGGGTTGCACAATCTCCTTGCCATATAAATTACAGCTCCCACTGACGTCTCAGTCGAGAAATACGGGTAGCTGAAATTTTTCTCGCAAATCTGACTACGATACCATATCCAAATTTCATGTTCCACTTTTGAGCCTGAGTTGTGCTTCACACTCGCCGCTGAGGGCGGCGTTCCGGGAACTCTGCGTCGAGCAGTATTAATGTCACAATACTAGTTGGCTGCAGTTGTCGACTTGGTAATCTCCCTCAGGTCTCTTAATGCTTAAGTTTGGGGCTATTGAAATATACCACCATTTTTTCATGATTGAACCAGAAACCTTGGGATTTTAAAGGCAGGCACTTTGCCAATAACTTAATCTCAACTCATACACCCATCAAGCAGAATGATTAAAAAAAAAAGTTGTATTATTGTTTTGCAGACCAGAGCTGATGGTGAAGAAGCTGCGTTATTATGCTAGACTAATTGTTGTTTGCTTGCTACTGAGGAAGATGGACCTCATCAGAGAGCTTATCAAAGTAAGTACTACTATATAATGATGATTTAAATGGTTCAAATTCATAATTTTATTTTCCTCAAATATAGAGATAGCAGACAACAAATGGAAATCCTCGCTCGACAATGTCTACCATACTTCAACTATTAAAGAGCAAACAATAATAATTATCATAACATAATAGTTTAAAAAATATAGAGTTGTAGAAAAGAAGACATCAGTCCGTCAAAGTGCTGGTTGCCTTAGTGATCACTGTGCATGTGCATTAGCTGTGCGTATTCGTAAGTACCAAGTAGTTCGCGCACTGACACTCTTCGCACAGCTCTTTGTTGGCGATACAGAGATGAATGATTTGATTGTGGTTAATGAAGTTTATTATGGTTATAGGTAGGCCTAATGTCCTGGTAGACATTTGTTGAATAGATTAAAATGTATTCTAAACATTATTATGAATTGTTTCAGCATTGCCTTATTTTTTCAGTTCTTTTGTAAGTCAGTGACCTTGTTATCTTAAGCCATTATGCCATTCTAGATCTAGACTTCATTCTTGTTAACAAGTGCCATAGAGTGATATTTCTTATGTCTGCTGTGTGCGTTCATAGCTTGGCCTAGCAACGAAATGTTCTATCACGTTGTGCTATAATAAAATCACTCCAGATTTTAGCTGTTTTGCACACGAGATACACAAAATCGGAGGCACTACTGTATATTGATCAGCGATCAGTAGAGAATAGGATAGTTCAGTGCAAATATAAGTGATGATGTCATCACTGACTTTTCAGATTACTGTAGTAGTAAAGCTAGACCAAAAAATTTAATTAATTTGGTGAGCTGATGCTCAAGTTGAATATATGGGAATGAAAATGTTTATTATACCCAATTGAAAAATGTAATCTTCCATTCCCACAAAAACATTTTAATGAATTATATTGAAATACAATTCTTGAAAACATGTATTATAAAGCTGTGTAATGGCTATTACTCATAGTAAATGAAATACTGAATTTAAAAAAAATCTAAATCTTAAAGCATTTTAATTTACTTGAAAGTCTGTTCTTGGAAATTTCAAAATATTATGTTTAAAAAACAGACCTTCATGCAATCCTAAGTATAACTTCAATACAAAAAGTCATAAATAAATTAAATATTGTGGGTTTTGGAATTCATAGTTAACAAGTTATTGAGTGAAAGGTCAGTGTACAAGGGATGTTAATTTGCATAAAAGGAATTTTGATTAATCATGGATCTACGAATACGGAATGCATTATTATAAATAATGGGAAAATATTGGGAGAATCGGAACAAAATTCTGCTTGCATATTTATATCAATTAAACCATTTATCATTGAAGAAAATAAAAATATTAAAACCAAAATATCAGTGTAGTCTGCCTGGACACACAAAATTGGTTCTTGCCTGAAAGGATGTATTCAAAATGGGTTAAAATGTTGAGTAGCGGTCAAGTTACTGTCAGCAATTTGTGCCATATTCCTCACAATTTCAAAGATTAATTATGAAGTAAAAATGTTTCTAATAAGGTCTACACAATATCATGTGTACATAAATAATTTGAAAATTAACACAGAACTTGAAGGGTCCGTTGGGATGATAGATCATGATGCAATGCTTTATAAATAGTAGGCTATTCATCTGATGATTCTAAGAAGGAAACAATCCAATACTGTAAAACCAAATGGCAGCCTGTCAGTGCTTAAATGGATTCTACTGCAAGAACGCGTAGACAAATTGATGGAATAACAGAAAATAAAAGCATTTGATACATAAAAAGATTATATTGTAATAATACATTAAATAAGCCACATCCACCATTAATTAGTAAATGACAACTTTTTGATTGTCTTGTGCCAATGGAAAGCAAATTTTTAAAGCAGTTTTTTTTTTTTATCAATAAAAATCATTGGAGTGGTGATAAGACAATTCCAAATATGGATTTTAAATAGTTGATCTCCATTTGTTGATTATGATGCTTTTTTGATGATTAAAGTTTGTAATTACTGATGTTCCACTTTTAAAAATTTAATTTAATTTGTGATTAGCTAATAACAGATTCTATTATCATCACTTTATATAAAAATATAGATGTAGAGTGTTGCACAGATAAAAAATATTATTACATATAGTGTTAGTTTACTGCTTCATGCTTATGACCATCAAAACAGAAACATAAATTGGTTTGAAAATCAATAGTGTGTGGCAATCTGTTCACTAATTTTTGTGGTCAATTAAAATATTTTGTATTATTACAAAATGAGTGTATAGTAGTCACACCATTGATCAAACAAATAAGTTGACCTCTATGAATCTGTTGTATGTACTAAGGTCGAGTTAATATGTTTGAGATTTCAATATACTACAAAGATGACAATAATAATGAATGATTGAGAAATCATGAATGTACTGTAGCATTTTCCATACCAAAATAATAGTTTTATTTCATTTGTTTGTCTCATTGAAATAAATCCTGAAACAGATAAAAGTAAAGTTAACTGAAACTGGCTTTGCAAAATGAGATTCAATATCTCTGTCGAGTGGGTCACTAAAGGATACTTACAACAATTAAATAAACATTCAACTTTCATACCGTTTAAATATACTAAACATTATTTATTGTAATAATGATTAATAATTGATAAAGAGTTTTAAAAAATTTAGGTCATTTTACTTTATAGATTCATGTGTTCAGTTGCTTCAATGTAGAAATGGATAGTACTGTAATATGAAGTCATGTGTATTTGGTAGCAAGGATATACAGAATACATCTAACTGTACTGTAGTGTACTTTAAACAATACTAGCTACAGTACTGTAATTTAGCTGTACAGAAAGTAATAAAATCTGTTACAGTACGCCAACAAATGACTATAATAAATTTAGTGTCCCTGTTTAATTGTACTGTATGCCAATCCAATCTACTTGCATTGTTTCAAAAGTGCATTCTTAGGGTACTTGGCATTTTCCAGCTTGAGTAGCAGACATGAATTGCATTCATAGTGCAAATAAAATAATCATAAAAATGAGTACCGTACTATATAATTTACTTAAATATTCTATTATTTTCAAACTTAGTATTATAATGTTATAGTGTAGAGTAGAAAGGAAGTGGTCTTGAAAAAGAAAAAAAATTATTAGATGAAAACAAATAAAAGCTATGCCATCGTAAAACGTGGATCATATGATACAGAAAATTGGAGAAATTATTACTGTTGTGAACCTACCGTTGGACAGAAAACAAATGATGATGATTATACTAGTGTTACCTGCAAAATATTAAAATAGTTTACTTTTAGTAGCAGTAGGCTTATAGCTGTGCAGTATAACCAACTTTGAAACAAAAAAGTTTTATATAATTAAGAAATAATTTTCGATGATGTGTGATTTTATTTAAATTTTAATTCATAGCCTAAATAGATGAAGAAATGATTTTTGCATAGAAATCTGGATATTGTAGATAAGCAAAAGAAATCTTAGGCCGATTTACAGTGTATAAATGTCTATACTTGTAACTGTAAATTCTTGTACATGAAAGTGACCCACTTACATGACCCTAGAGTTGAGAACAGTTTTGTGTGGTTTTTGTATGTTCGTGATATAACACCCGTGGGATCTAAAGACCATACGATCGATCGATGCTTACTATAATGATTGTATAATGTAGCTTATCATCAATTTGGTATTTTTACTGCATTGTTTTTTACAGTTGTTACAGAGGTGTTTGGTAAAGAAGTTAAGTAAAATTATCATATTGTCAGTGTTACCATCGTCGTCATCAACATTATGATCATTAACATCAACATCATAATTATCATCAGAAACATTATCATTCATCATCATCATCATCAACTTCATCATTATCGTCGTCATAGCCGGCCATCACCGTTACCTTCATAACCATCATAATTGCCATGATCATCACCAACATTATTCTTATCATCATCAACATCTTTGATTAACATGACATCATTCTCACCATCACTGCTCTTCAGTATACCAGTATTGGAGGCCAATCAAATTATTGCATGGTCTCCAATCTGAATAATTTAGCACATTGATCCTTATCATACAGTAGTGTACTGTAGGCTACTACTGTATATGGATTATATACCATACTATTCACTCATACTAATTAAGTTTTGTGCTAAATTAAATCACAACTTATTATCATTTTGTTAATTGGTTTTAGTATTCAGGCTAATTAATCTAATGATACCTAGCTAATTGTTGAACTTTGAGAAAATTCTAATTTGTATTCTTGTGATTGTATCTCTCGTTTCAGTATCAATATACCTTTTGATATTTCTTGATGGCTTTGGCATATAAAATACAGCATTTGCGATATTATTTCATTCTGTGTCCGTATACTTAATTGCATTGCAGATCCCTGGATGATTTTCTACTTACCAACCTATTCCTTAGGGTAGGAAGTACAAAATGGTTTGCTAAAGTAAACTTGCGGCTCCATGTTTTGGTACTGTAATTGCAACAGAAGCCGCGTGTGCGGTGAACATGGATTTATCGCTGCCAATTTGCATAGAATACACATTGATGTTTCGTTGTGCATCACTCGTATAGCACTGTTTACACTATATAGCTCATTATCATTGCACTGAATGTGTAGAATACTTTACTAGAGATTGAGAACTGCACAGGAGAGCCAAACATGATAGTAAAATGCGAAAGTGGTTTGTACTTATAATACCTTAGATTATAGATTTGTCCCAACAAGTAAAAAGCTTGTTGAAATAAATGTAAATTAAATAGAGTCAGCAATAATTTTGAACTTTAAAAAAAAATTTAAAACATGATTATTTTCACAATTTATTTTCCTTTATTATTGGACAGTTTCAATACAGAATATATAAGTATAGTAGTAGCATCCTTAACAAATATCAAGATGTAACAATATAAAAACTACAAATTTCTACTTTTAAATGGTTCATTAATGATGCAGTGGTGTTAAAACATACATGTTGTATATAAAATTTCAATTAGTAAAAGCTTGGTG